CTCTATGTGTCAGCCCTGTGATAGTCTGGCGACCTGTCCAGGGTGTACAGGCTGTATACAGAAAACATGTAAACAACCTAAAGCACATAAGCAACAGACTATAACCAAAAAAAAGAAAAAAGAAGCTGCCAGACATACTGTATATGCAGTATGTCTGTGGATAAATGATTTGTAAGCCATTTTCAACATGTCACATAGTCAATTATTGCAAGAGTACAGGTCAAGGATAGCCATACAAATTTAACGATTATTTGTCTTTGAGATAATAATTTACTCCATAAGCCTAAAACAATTGGATGCTTTAGTGTTATAAAACTGTGTTCTCTCCATTTGTAAGACTAAGATAATTTTGTTGAGCTGTGTCTGAAATCAGGGGGTGCAGGAGATTTACAGCATTTTAGAATCATCTTCTTTAAAGATTCAATTTCGAGCATCATTGCCAATTGGTCCTCAGATGTATTGTTCAAGTCGGACGCTGAGCATCCAAAGATTGCCAGTTTTTGGTCAGTGGGGCTATTCCTAACATAGACCCTGGAGAGCCACTGAAATATTTCACACCAGTAATTGTGAAATTGAGGACAGAGCCAGAAAAGACATGTTAAAGAGCCATCTGCACCTTTGCATCTCCCACATAATGGGGAAATAGATGGATACATTCACTTAACTTGGTCTTTGAGTAATGGAGTCTATGGATGACTCTGTATTGAATCAATACTGAACAGCATGGGTTGTTTTTTTCCACAGCTGGCTGTACTGCGTGGGGAAAGTGCCTCAGTTAAGACACTGCAGGGTACAATTCAGGCCTTAGAGCGAGACAAGGCTAATCTACAGGACCGTGTTCAGAGACTGGAGAAGGACCTGGCTGCTGGGCCTGACACCATCAACAAGTCCTCAGGTAAGAGTGGGTTTACCTCATGACCACTGCTAATATGTCTGTTAGCACTAAGTCAGTTCTCTGTGAGGTGACCTCCAAAAGAAAACAAGATTACCTAATGTACTTCTGCATTTCATTTAATCTTGTACCTGTCCCAGGTGATGCAGTTTTGGACCAACTAAGGGAGGATAAGGAGACAGCAGAGAGTCAGGTGCGTAAAGCTTTGCTCTCATCCAGAATAAAACTAATCATATGCCTGGATAATTTGAGGGTTTTTGCCATTCATGCATTCAGTGTGAAGATGCTTCCCTACCCTGGCCCGTAGAACGTTCTGGTTTGACAACTACACAGTCTCATTTACATTTTCATCATATGTGGGGCAGTCGTACGGAAACAGTCTTTCTGAATGCTGTTTGTGAAATGACTGTGCTGCTTACTCAGACATTTACTAACATAAACTACTTCTGATGTAGCAGTAGACTCTGAATTTTACAGTTTACTGTTGACTCATGTAGCTGTTACAGTATAATGTTTTACAGAGGTGAAGTGGGTCTTGAAATTTATTAGAAGCATAACAAACTTCCGACATCATCTCAGCTCTTACAGTGCTGATAGATAACAACCTGTATCACAGTTTCAACCAGCATTTGACCCGCAGTGGTGGGACGATGGCATGTGTCATCAGTCTCCTTCACTTACTTCTCATTTCCAGCCTCGTTAACTCTAAAATGTTATACTGTATTGTTTGTGTTGGTGATGACTTGAGTGTTGTCTGGCAGTAGATGGGTCTTAATTTGATTCTCAATTTTTTTTTTTCTTCTCCCTCTCCTTCTCTTTCTTAAACTCCAACTCCTCTGCCCTGTCTCTGATGTTGGCAATGCTACACCACCATCAGGCAGCGGTTTGTTAATGTTTTTCATCAGCTTCACTTGTGCATGTTTGTCTGTCACCGTCACTGTGGCTCCTATGTTTTGTTCAGTGGATCACATTTTAGTTGGTGTCAAAACTACAGTGTTCCAAAGACAAATCAAGCTTGGTTTTTCAGTACCTTTAGCATTGAATAAGCTCTCTGATGAAATTTCTAGGAAATATTACTTAACTTAGTTCCTTAGCAGACATCAGATCTGTTAAAGATACTGTAACTCATCATCAGTGGGTATTTTACAGACTGTCCTTGTGACTCATTCCAAGTGTTGATTTTTCTTTGGTTGACGACTCACAGTGACAACTCACCACTCTAGTCGCAATTAGGTTAATTATTTGTGGAATATGGCGAGGCATAGTCACTATTAATTATAATGGTATTGTCATAGGGTTGAGGCAAAGTCTTGGCACGTGATACAATGAATAAATGTCACAGGGAGACCCTATATTGATAATAAAACAAATATTGTATTGGATAACAGATCATTCGCCAGTACTGATGCTATGTTCTGCGTCACCTTTACAGATTGAGTTCCTGAATTCAGTCATTGTTGACCTCCAGAGGAAAAATGAGGAACTCAAGGACAAATTGGAGAAAATGGCAGCTGCTGCTCTGAATGGGAATAATCCAAGTGAGCTGGATAACTATGATGATAGGTAAGTCCCTTCCATTAGAGCTGGGTTGATTTCCATTTTGCCAGTTCAGTGTATGAGCTTAACCAGCTGACCCTGCATTTGTAATAATGTCATTATTAAGTGCGACACCTAGTGGTAAAATTCGGTATACCAGTCAGTTGTTTGGCTTAATATCAAACCGATTTGAAAATTTTTACTCCGGCCCAATCCGACCATCTGTACCAGACTTTTTCTGACTTAAAATAACAACTCTGTGGCAGAACAACTATTTTAGTTACACACAAAGCTGCTTTCTTTTTCTCTGCAGCCATGACAAGAAGAAGAAGCCTCCCCCAAGGCTGTTTTGTGACATCTGCGACTGCTTCGACCTCCACGACACTGAGGACTGTCCCACACAAATGCAGATGCCCGACTCCCCACCACACACCACCTACCACGGCAACAAGGGCGAAGAACGGCCCTACTGCGACATCTGTGAGGTCTTTGGCCACTGGACCGACGCCTGTAACGATGACCAGACCTTTTAAGCCTTTTTTCCACCCTTGTTCGCACAATCAGTATATTTGCACATCATGTTAGATTACGCCGTGCTTTTTGTGCTTTTTGGGGTTTTGGTTTGTATACGTGCATCTCGTGTGCTTGTTTTTGCCAAGCGTCTTTGTCCATGCCAGTCCTTAAGCGCTCTTACAGGAGAATGGTCTCCTCACAATCTCTTTCCGAAAAATAATATACAGCAGTTAACAATTTTTATTTGTAATTGTAAATGACTTTAAAGCAAAAATGTTTGATATTCTGGGTTTGTGTGAGGAGGAGATGTTATAGGTGGATGTATCAACGCGGGAGAAGCGATGATCTTCATCAGATCATTTAATTTATCAATATCCTGACATTGTTTGCACAGCTCGTTGGGAAATTACAAAGATAATATAGTATAATGAAAGGTGTTTATTTGAAGCTGTAAATTACTTGATTGAAAAAAATATCAGTTTGTGCAAAAAATGGGTGAGCTATAGTTTATTTTTTTATGCCTGGAAATAATATGTACTCTAAAGGTTTGATAGTATGTGTGTGATTTTGTGAGGGGTCATCACAGGGGGGGAGATTTTCTCACTCTAGCCTGGAGTGGAGCTGTGAAACACAGTGCTGTTTGGCTTTAATAGGAACTTTTTTTATGGTCTTCATGAAGGAACTGATGGATGATTGTTTAAAAAAAGAAGCAGTGAGACTTAAAGCACTTCACACTGACTGTAACTCCCTCAGTTCCAGTGAAATGGCCTTTCCAAAAGGTTTCTTTGCAAATAAAAAAAAAATCACATCTGGATGAAACAATGAAATACTTAGGCATTTCTTTCAAAAATGTTTTGAATATCTGTATAAAAATAAATGAAATTTATGTATAAATTAAAAATCTGTTTATTGACTGTTCAGTTAAAAGCACTAAGCTCAATCTTTGTGTCTGGAAAGTTTGAAAGCATGTTTTACGATGTTTTTTCCCCCAAGAAGATTTTCATGTCTGCGCAGCTTGTAGCAGACCTCTCCTTAACGTCTTGAGCTGAGTTAAAGGTCCAGTGTGTAGGATTTTTGGGGATATATATTGGTAGAAATAAAATATAGTCATAACTCTGTTTTCATTAGTGTATAATCACCTGAAAATAAGAATCATCATGCTTTCATTATCTTAGAATGAGCTGTCAATATCTTTATACAGTGCGAGTCCTCTTCCACGGAGTCCGCCATGTTGTTTCTGCAGTAGCTTAGAACAAACCAACCAACCAAACAGACACGGGCTCTAGATCAACCCTACCTGAACCAGCACAGTTTATGTCCAAGCCTGACCAGCGGCAGCAGTTTTGGGCTCTAGCCCAATGAAAAATTTTAATTTCTCTTATAAATCACCAGCTTCATCACGATACAATATTATATTGATTTGTTTGGATGACGATAAGATGTTTGCCGATATCACAAAGTCTGTCACAATACGATTTTGATTCGATTCGATTCAGGAGCCTGCGATCGATATGACGCAATATCATATGCCCATCTAACACAATCATTTACAACAACTCACAAAAACAACTAGAATATGATTTGACCATTTTATTTCTGAGCTCTGTTTGTTGTTTGAGCGGAGGCGCGCTTGCCCAGAAATTGTGACATAGACATGCTATGTGAATTTCAAAATAAATGTGTATCTTTAAGATGACGATATGGATCGATGTTTTCATTTTGCATCGATATAATTGGATCGTTAATCAATGAATCGATGTATCGATGTGGATCGATGTATCGTTACACCCCTAGTTGCAATCTGCAACCTCACAGCTAGATGCCACTAAATCCTGCACACTGGACCTTTTATCATACAGTTAATCAGTTATTCTGCACGGTTATTGTTATGCATTGAATAGCATATGAAATATCCATGTTATGCCCCCTTTTGAAAATGGAAGATACAAGACGACAACAACAGGACAATCAAATAATTGAAGGAGTCAGAGTGGCAGTTACACAATGAAAAGTGATTTACTTACAAGTGTAACACAAGGTTCTCCAAATGTGAGGGAAGGAGGGCCAAAGTGGTTGTGCCAAATAAATAAAAGCAATATAACAAATCCAGACCTCAACTAACCTCTACATCTAAAGCAAAACACAAACCAAAAACCTAAAGCAAAATCTAAAAAAAAAAAAGAGCTTCACCAAACAAATACATGGGTGGCAACAACCAATAAACCTAGTGTGTCTAAACACAAAATAACTACGTGAGGGAAATGTATAGGGTACCCCACTCACCTGCAGTCCTCAACCTCCCGCCACACCTTAAATTTCTAACAACTTTATGAAAATCTGAGCAGCAAAAGAGGATAAAAGATGATCAAAAGGAGAGGCAGAAACTCCTCGGACGAGCTCCTTTTCTTGATGACAGGCAGACTGAAAGTACGAGGTAACCAATCAGCACTCTGACAGAACTGCACAAGGTGGAAGTAATCAGGTTGTTAGCACCTGAAGAGAAAACAGAGGGAGAAAACACAGCACCATTTTTCCCCTGCCTGGCATCCATAAAATATGTCAGTCAGTCCTCAGTGTTTTCAATGATAGAGAAGGGGTCCCTTAAGGGAAAAAGGTTGGTTACCAAAATACAGGTTCATACATAGACCTTCATGTCTGATCAGCTTGTAGCAGTGCTTTCTTTGTAATTGCACCATCTTGACTTGGGTTAAGTGCCCTGTGTACATTTCTCTGTGTCAGATCCTACACCGATAAGCCAAAACATTAAAACCAGTGGTGGGTGAAGTGAATAAAACTGACCATCTTGTTACAGTGCAATGTTCTGTTGGGAAACCTTGGGTTCTGGCATTAATGTGGATGCTACTTGACGCACTCCACCCCCCCGAATACCATTGCAGACAAAAAAAAAAAAAAACTCATGGCAATAGCACTTGTCGATGGCAGTGCCTCCCTAGCAGGACTACTGATTGTGCCTCACCATAAAAGCTGCTCAGGAATGACCCAAGGAATGACACAAAGAGCTCAAGGTGTTGACTTTGCCCCCAAATACCCCAGATCCCAATCTGATAGGACATTTGAGGGACGTGCTGGTACTCCAGAGATAACCCTGATCCACATTGGGTGCTCCTTGGACCGGACTTGGCTCTGACCTGTCAAGGCATGGACACAGGACCTCTAAGGGGTGTCCTATAGTGTCTGGTACCAGGGTGTTAGCTTCAGATCTTTTGAGTCCTGTGGGATGTGAAGTGGGGTACCAGCAATACATCAGCAGTAATGAGGGAATACAGGGAGGAACATAAGAGATTAATCTAAGCTAGCAGGACTAGTTTGGATACGGCTCCATAACGTATAGTAGCTCTAATTGATCAAGCTGATAATCTTACTTTAAGACAAATCAGGCTGTTTGCTTTTATGTGGTAGTGTAAGTTGATTCGCTTCAGCTGCAGACTGCCATTTTTCCAGCTCCACACTCAACTCCACAGTCAATGGCTCCAGTTGGACGGACACAGAGTTGTCTGTGTGGACATCTGTCTCAGATTCCTTGTTTCCCTTTCCTCTGCCTACACAGGAAGACATCAGACAAGGTTCATGATTTTAAGCAGACTGAACATTGGACACCAAATACACTTTCTTCGATAATGTGACATAAATGAGATATATATGAGATATAAACCACATATGCTCTACTGGCTGGCCTTTAAAACATTTTAATATCAATAATCTCAGTTTTACAGTTGGAAAAGTGATTCAGATGATTAACCTTTAAAAGCTGCTGTATTCTTCTGTTTGGTACCGCTGCCTCCTCTCTGCTTTGATTCCTTGTCCTCCTTTTTCTTGTCCTCTTTGATTTTCTTTCCCAGATCCTAAAAATGAGCGAACACATATATATATCATGTGAAATAAATTCCCATGTAAGTGTGACAGTTTATAATCCTGTTGGCTACTCCATGTGTTGCTTGTTTCCTTTAGACATCATAAAACCTGCCTCAGTGTTTTTGAGTTTGGATTGTGACCCCCCAAGTTGTTTGCTAATAATTCCAGTGAAATGAACCTGATAGCGGTCGTACTGTCTCAGCGACGCCCTGGCTGTGTCAACAATGTTTAGCATATAAACTTGCCTTTTCAAGTGACTGCGTAGCTTCCAGCTCAGACTCAGTGTGCAGGGTGCCAAGGTCACAGAGAACATCGACCTTATGACCTCTTTTTACCAAGCCCTGCAGGGGGACGTGGACGGAGCCAAGGGTTCTTCTGATGGGGGCGTCCTGGACCAGATCTGGTACAGATTTCTTCTTTTTGTCCTTGTCTTTGGTGGAACCTGATTTGATTGGAGACTGGGGAAGAAACCACAGATGTGAACTTATAATGTTGAGATGCAGACAAATTTTATCTGCCAAAACAAACTTTTTATACTTAGAGCTGATGTAACAAGCTCTGGTGGACTTACCCGTGGACTGCTCATCAAGCCTGTCTTAAAGGAATATTTCACTCCCCAAATGACCATGTGAATATCAATTACCCACCCTGTATTTCTCGCATGTCTCCGATGACAGAAGAATCCAAAAACAGTGAAAATTATTAATGAATTGAAGTCATAAGTGTTCAGCAACAGAATAACTATATCAAAACATCCGTTTACAAACTCTCACTCTCACTGTGGTTTACTCTAAGCTCAGGACTTCCCAAACAGACAGCCCTTTCAGAACTAAACTAAAAAAAATATCAATGCTCCCTTCGAAGCTAAACTCCATTAACAAAAACAGTAATATTACTTCACTGAACACTGGATCTGCTGGTCAACCGCTGCCTCGATCTGTTAGTTTGTGTTATCGTGTGACTTTGGTGTTTTAAAGGGTTAGTTTGGGACACAGGGAAACAGAGATCTGTGTGGGTACATGATTGGTGCCAGAGACTGGTTGAGTCGGGTCTGACACTAGATATTTGTTTGGGATGTCTTTGGATTCCCATTCAGTCATCCAGGCAGGCAGGGCATCAAAGTCAGTGGGTGGGGGGTCCTTCCAAATTGGACGTCTAGATCGGAGATGAGCAGGTGGTGGGTTGAAGATGTCAGCATGGATTGGTAAATGGGGGGAGTCTTTGACCTTTTGGAGCATCCCGCTTGAGGCTGACTCCAGAAGCCAGTCAATCCCCATAGACCCCCATTTTGAAATGCCCAACTTTACAGCAGAAATAAACATGTTTACAGCCTGGTACAAAAAATAGTTTTGGTCTCTTACAGCTAATTTCTATATTCATGATAACTGTACAGGGGTGAATTTTTATATAACTCACCTGTTTACATTTGATGAAGACTTAAAGTTATGCATAATTCAGGATAACTTAGGTCTGCCCCTTGCTCCTCCTCCTCCTCCTCCTCTCACCCAAATATGGTCCCTTATGGCTTCAAAAACCAAGATGGTTGAAATGCCAAACTTGAGCCTTCAAAACAGGAGTCCCCAAACCAAACCGTGACGTCAAGGTAGCTGCATGCAGCATTTCCACAGTCTATGGTTTGCTGACACCGGTTGCCATAGTAACGGACACATTTTTCCTTTCTGTGTGCTCCCTTATCAGTCCCATTGTTGGAATGAATAATCCAGGGTTTCCCGAAAACTCTGTTTATTAGTTCTTATTTTTCTGAAGCTGACTAATGCCATGGGTGTCAACAGTTTGGAACTAAATGATAAGCTCACCTCTTTTTCTTTCCCACCTTTCCTCTCTTTAACATTTCGGCTGGGTTTGGCCACCGGGACGTCTTCAGAGGCTGCAGGCCATGACAGGACCTAAAATGCCAAATGTCAGAATATGAGTCCTAACACATTTTACATTTAAATGTTTACCCACTCAAACTTTATTTTCTTTACCTTTTCCTCCTCTAGCGTAAGATAAAGACCTTGATTGAAAAATCTCTTTAAGCCTCCCAGATCACTAACAATGTACGTTTGTGTGTCACTGAAGTCCATGCACTCTGCCCATGTCAGTTTTGATGTTCTGTGTTTTGACACTGTGGAAACAGAAATAGTAAAAACAGACGATATGTTTGGCACACACGGGCACAGTTCAGTGTAGCCACAGTTACGCTCCCTTGGCACCAATAGTGTTTTTTACCTTTAAATAATGAAATGTGTAAAAGTGAATAACCAGCAATTCTGTTCCCAATCAGATCCCTGCTACATGCACGTGTTGAGCGTGTACCCTATGACCTCTTTGTCTGTATGTATGTAGCCTGTGGGGATGTCTGGTGTGTGTGCTTGCAGACTTAAGGCTACATTAAGTTGTTGTCACATTTTGTATGTATTTTGTTGTTAACTGTGGCAGCATGAGCGCTGTCCTGTGCTAAAACCTTTCACCTTTGCACATGAATGATGTTTAGCCCTGTGGTCACTTATATTATGGTTACTGTTATTTGTTGAATATTCTTTGGCCAAATTCTTATTAAAGAAACATTTACATTGCATGTTTTGTGTGCCATGTCTGATTTTTACTGAACTACATTTGCATCTTTGCTGACTTTGTTATTGGGAGGTGGAAGGGATCGTGGTTGACATGTCACCAGGCATGACGTCTGCCAAGCTGAAGACCACTGTTGGAAACTAACAGCACTGGTTGGTTTTGGCGACCCTCTATGGCGTTTCCACCAGTGTTTGTGGCACTGAACCTGGGTGTATTTAGCGACACATCAGGGCATTTCACAGTGACGCTTGAGCTGCTAAAACTGAAGGTTTTTCACAGGTGCGTTCCTGCTTTTCGTTTTGTGCCACCAAAAGCGGGTATTTTACGCCAGAACATGATATTTTCTTAGCCATACCCAAGTGGCCATGTGGCCATTAGAAAATGACAGCAAGCATGGCCATCATCTGTTCTTCTCTTAATTATATTTAAGTACTTTTTCGAGGACCAAGTCAAAAAATGTCTGAATTTCAAAGTATTCAAGGACTTAAATTTCTGAGTGTCGAAATTCAAGTACTTCAAGCACTACAAACCCTTTAATGATGTAACTCTAAAGTCATGGGAAGTTAAACAGAAAAGCCTTTCTGACAGGGGACTGAACTAAAAGTGATACTTGGCAATGTTCTCTTCGAAGCCAGACTCCATAGGCAAAAACAGAAATCTTACACAGGAGCTTTTGGCTCATAGTTGACCCAAAATATACAAACAAACCTCAGATTGAGTGGAAAGTTAAGGAAAGTCATTAAATGCTTGATAAAAGATCAGTAGTCCAGTCATCCAGTTTCACGGTGTGTATAACTCTCCGCTGGCTGTTCTGACTGTGTGTTTCTCCGAAACCAAATTTCACAGAAACTGATAAGAGAAAGTTCCTCCCTGTTATACAGGATACATAACTAAATTACATCATACTGTATGATGTCCAGACATCATTGTCATGGGGATGCCCCGTGACCTCTAATGGAGGAGCTATAGCTCCTGCTATATGCAGGAGTTGGAAGCTTCTCTCGAGTCTCTGAGATCTGTCTAGCAAGCCGGCCACAGCGGCTGTTACTGCCAGGGGCCCAAACTTAAAGGGGGCATAGCCCGGTGCAGAGTTGATTTTTGTTTTAGTTTTTCTTCAGTTTTGGCCAGCTGATCTGCACTGTACATATTGCTGCACCTAACCCACTGCTGGAAAAGAAAAGGGAAATTAAAAAAAATTGGACTGTTGAACAGTTTAAAGTCCTCTTCCTTTTGCCTTCACCGCTCGACCAACCTTACAATCATACTGACAATTATTTCCAGACTCCTCTAATCCTAAACTAAATGTCATGCAGTGATAATCACCGTGTTAAAACAAATGTGTCAGCTCTAACAGTGTTTGTGCTTTAATCCATTTTTGTGTGGGCGTGACACCAGTGTAGGTTAAATAAATGTTGTTACCATGTGCAGTGTCATAGCAGGTTTCCTCAGTATACACCACCAAGTCCTGTGCGTCTGGTTTGGAAAATTCTTTTTCACAGTTTTTGTTTGATTGTAGGTCAGCATCACTGAAGATGTCCTCCGTCACATGTGCTGCGTCACATTTAGACTCACTGACCTTCTGTGAGCAGCACTGCAAAAAGGAAGAAAAAGCTGATGTGAAAGATAGTCACTGTTGAAAGATAAGCTGAAAAAACACACACATGTAATATGGATTCAAAGTGCATATGTGTATTGATAAAAATATCTTAAGTATCAATAAGTAAATGTATAAATACATGCAGTAATATACATACACATACATATATATACACATACATATACATATATATATATATATACATACATACATACATACATACATACACATACACATACAAATACATACACACATACATATATATACAGTACAGGCCAAAAGTTTGGACACACCTTCTCATTCAATGCGTTCTCTTTATTTTCATGACTATTTACATTGTAGATTCTCACTGAAGGCATCAAAACTATGAATGAACACATGTGGAGTTATGTACTTAACAAAAAAAGGTGAAATAACTGAAAACATGTTTTATATTCTAGTTTCTTCAAAATAGCCACCCTTTGCTCTGATTACTGCTTTGCACACTCTTGGCATTCTCTCCATGAGCTTCAAGAGGTAGTCACCTGAAATGGTTTCCACTTCACAGGTGTGCCTTATCAGGGTTAATTAGTGGAATTTCTTGCTTTATCAATGGGGTTGGGACCATCAGTTGTGTTGTGCAGAAGTCAGGTTAATACACAGCCGACAGCCCTATTGGACAACTGTTAAAATTCATATTATGGCAAGAACCAATCAGCTAACTAAAGAAAAACGAGTGGCCATCATTACTTTAAGAAATGAAGGTCAGTCAGTCCGGAAAATTGCAAAAACTTTAAATGTTTCCCCAAGTGGAGTCGCAAAAACCATCAAGCGCTACAACGAAACTGGCACACATGAGGACCGACCCAGGAAAGGAAGACCAAGAGTCACCTCTGCTTCTGAGGATAAGTTCATCCGAGTCACCAGCCTCAGAAATCGCAAGTTAACAGCAGCTCAGATCAGAGACCAGATGAATGCCACACAGAGTTCTAGCAGCAGACCCATCTCTAGAACAACTGTTAAGAGGAGACTGCGCAAATCAGGCCTTCATGGTCAAATAGCTGCTAGGAAACCACTGCTAAGGAGAGGCAACAAGCAGAAGAGATTTGTTTGGGCCAAGAAACACAAGGAATGGACATTAGACCAGTGGAAATCTGTGCTTTGGTCTGATGAGTCCAAATTTGAGATCTTTGGTTCCAACCGCCGTGTCTTTGTGAGCCGCAGAAACGGTGAACGGATGGATTCCACATGCCTGGTTCCCACTGTGAAGCATGGAGGAGGAGGTGTGATGGTGTGGGGGTGTTTTGCTGGTGACACTGTTGGGGATTTATTCAAAATTGAAGGCACACTGAACCAGCATGGCTACCACAGCATCCTGCAGCGACATGCCATCCCATCCGGTTTGCGTTTAGTTGGACGATCATTTATTTTTCAACAGGACAATGACCCCAAACACACCTCCAGGCTGTGTAAGGGCTATTTGACCAAGAAGGAGAGTGATGGAGTGCTGCGGCAGATGACCTGGCCTCCACAGTCACCGGACCTGAACCCAATCTAGATGGTTTGGGGTGAGCTGGACCGCAGAGTGAAGGCAAAGGGGCCAACAAGTGCTAAACACCTCTGGGAACTCCTTCAAGACTGTTGGAAAACCATTTCAGGTGACTACCTCTTGAAGCTCATCGAGAGAATGCCAAGAGTGTGCAAAGCAGTAATCAGAGCAAAGGGTGGTTTTATTTATTGATACTTACATCATTTTTTTTATCTTGAATACAGCTAGGCAGGTGAGTATTGGTTTAAGACATACTTGAGTTATATTTAAGTTCTTACATGTGAAACTAATATAATATATGGATTATTACTGTCATGTGTAATTACATGTCAGACTACAATGTAAAAAACAAAAACAAAACACTTGATTTGAGTTCAGTTTTTTATATGTGACACTCTGGACAGCATTAAACTCACAGACACGTAAAGAGACTGAGCAGAGTAGGAAGTATACCAGGTCAACAGTTTGATGACTAAGGAACTCGTATGTGATAAAGTAGCCATAGGTGATAACAGGGAAATCAGGAGCGTTTTCGTCCAAACTCATCGATGGGTCTGGGATTCCCCTCACTCTGCCCACACTCACTGTGGCTGATGCCCGATCCTCTATCAGATCTGTAGGTATCGATAAAATGACAGAGCTGCTTACTTAGAAAAGAAACGATAGCCCACTCAGGCTTACTCACTGATAGCAAAGTCCACAGACTCACCAGTTATCTTGGAGAGGCTGCTAAAACTACATCTTTCTTCAGGGGAGATCCGTGAGGCGTCTAAGTATGAGAGCCGTGGGAGACTGTCTACAGTGAGGCCTGGGTAGGAGGGAGCGAGAGTGAAGGGGTTTCCCTCTAGAACCAGCGTCCTGAGGCAGGGGAGCGTGCTCAAAGCATCCAGCAGGGCCTGCTGGTTCTGAAACTCACAGTCACTCAGGTCCAGACACACCAGCTGTGGCCTGAGGTCAGAGACAGTTTTTTCAGAATGGTGGTGTGCTGTATGGCAAGACTAACAGGTTTTAGAAAAAAAGAAAATGAGGAAGAGGATGAACTTATGTCTCCTGTTTATTCACAAATAAACCTTTTAAATGTCCAGTGTGTGAGATTTAGGAGGATTAATGGCACATAGCGGTGAGGATTGCATATTGGAACCTGATGAAACTTCTCCTGGTTAGAACTCCTTCAGTGTTCATTGGTCAGGAGGTTTTTACGGGGAGCTGAATCATCTGCAGAGGTTTCTTCCTCTCCAAAATAAACGGACCAGGAGATTTAAACCGGTAAAAACACTGAATAAAGCAGTTTCACATAAAAAAAAATCATTGTTTTTCCAACATTGCTCATCGCAGATGGGCTGCTATCTATGGTGGCCCACGTGAAAACACATATGGCCCTATTTAGAGCCAATGTTTGGTTTGTCCATTCAGGGCTACTGTAAAAACATGGCAGTGCAACATGACTATCTGCTTAGACAAGAACTGGCTCCCTTTGTAAATATAAACGGCTCATTCTAAGGTAAAAAAAAACCACAGCAAGTCTTATTTTCAGGTGATTATATGTTTAATAAAACTGACTTGCTATAATCAATTTCTCCCAATATATCCCTCTAAATCCTACACACAACTTATATTTGGGTGTGTTGCTCGACAGATATGACGAATTTCGACATAAAAAAATGTCATGTGACGCTTTTTTTCATGTTGCGCGCCAGGAGAATTTTGTTGTGCCACAGGTGACATCAGGTTTTGTTGCACAGTGTGACTGGCAGTGTCACTATTATCACCATGGAGATAGTAGTTTTAAATCCACAACGACTCTGACCTGCACCCAGTGTCTCTGTCCACAGAAGCAGAGTGTGTCAGCTGCAGCATCTGCAGAGTTGAGAGGACAGCGGCCAGCCAAACTGCCTTCACCAGGCTGACTGACAGCAAACATTTTCTGAACCAATATAATTTTTTTATGTTAGCTCCACGGGAGGAAATCAACAGTGTTTGTATGTATTGATTAATTTATTTTATTTACCATAGTGAGTGAGGGGAATCTGATCAATCAACAACTGTCTGTGCAGATCATTCTTCACTAAACATGACAGAAATAAACTAATAAAAAGCGCAGGGGTCTCTGGTTACCATGAAAACGACTCAAACCTTTCGCCGAAGCATGAGTTCTCTTTAATTTTTGTCAAGCAACACTTTTCAAAAGTGTCGATCATCCTAACTTAAATTAGGCTTAACACAGATAGCATAAACAAAATTAAACATATAAAGCTGCTAAAAATATCTATGGTGCAGATGGAAAGGAATTATTTCAAAAAGGCCCTCGAGTGGTTTATTATTACAAATCTATGGAGTTAAGGGTCTTGCAAGAAATAAATTTAAAGAGGCAAAGCAACATACACAGAAATATCCTTATATCCGTTATAAGTTTCAAAAGCTCCCACATTTTTTGTAATTTTTGGTATTCACTTTTAAAAGAAAAGCTGTATTTCCCAGAGTTTCTATATATGATAATCTAAGAACTGTTGTCTAAAGGTCCTCTCCACTCCACCAAGACACAATTCTGATGGCAAAATAAAATAAAATAAAATAAAATAAAGTATTATTATAAAGTATATATACGTAGCCTATTCGCACATCCAACTGTCTCAGATGGAGGTGCGTTGGGAAATATTACTTGAGTCTTTGAACAGAATATCCTGCACATTACTCTTACTCAGCCTTGACAAAAGTCCAGGGGAACCGAAATGTTAATGTTACTAGTAAATTGTGAAAGTGAATGTGAGGGATTTTCTCTTCAAAGACTCAAAAGAAACCAACCAACCAACCAAACAAAGTCTCAAGCCCGAGCCAAGATAACCCTGATGACATCACCATTAACAAAAAATGCAACAAAGATACAACTGTTTCCACAGGATGCATAGTACTCCTCATAATGATTAAACTGAACATCTTGTGTTTTTCAGGTATTTACAATTCTGTTTAATTGATGATAAAGAAGCAAAAAGACATTTTTTCCCTCTGACTTAACTGATCTAATCATCAGGAAACAAGAGTAATTCTGTCTTCATTAAAGGCCGCTTTTGATCTCCCTCTGAAGCCCAGCTTTAATGTTAGCCTTAACTTTGATATCTGTTGACAAAATGACACAGTGGGTACCAGCACGATGCTTTGGCAGTAAACTACCAGTGTTGCATCAGCAGGTGGCAAGGCAGACACACTGCCATCATATCTGTGTGTGTGTGTGTGTGTGTGTGTGTATGAAATCTGTCACAGGTAGAAAAACCAACAATGAAGCATCATGACGTGATGTGATGTCACTGTCTCACCTTACAAACAATAAAAAATTACACATTTACCTGAACTCTTGTTTGACCTGCTTTTGGTTTGTACCTCGTTAAAAACCCACAACTTCCTGTGTGTGTGTGTGTGAGCTAACCAGTGTGTTCCTGTGAGATGACAGACTACGTCATGGGAGCCCAGACTGTTTGAGCTGAGGCCGAGGTACTGCAGGCGAGGGGGCGGGCAGCTGGTGAGACTGTTCAGAGCAGACAGCCAGTTGTCACGTAGCTCCAAAATCTTTGACAGAAACATATTTACAATCAGACAGTTCATCAGCACTACATAACAGCACCAGCTACACTGTGAGTTACATCATCCATTCTTAAGAACTGGTAACAAAACATGTCCTAACAACAAAAACATAAATGTATAACTTATCAACACACTAATTCCATTTCTGTGGTGAAATATTAATTTTCAAAGAATTAATAGAGGACTACTGGTTTCAAAAAGGTGGGAATGCTGCTCAGGAGCTAGTAAGCTTCCTATTTTATGATAAATATCATTAAATGATATTGCTACTGGGTGTGTCTCAACCATAACATGTCGACTCTGTAACCCCTCCAAATAAAAACTAAATAAAAATTATGTTTTAAAAATGAGTATTTTGATTGGCATTAAGAGATCTTAGCAACTTTAAAAAATAAAAATGGCTGCTCACCATGACTGCTGTGAAATTAATACATATAGAACTTTTTGTCAGCTCCGTCAGATCTTACCTCTGACATCCATCATGTACACTATTCAGAAAAAAAAAAATTACCAGGAATTTGGCCCATTACATGGTTTGACAGTCAAGCCTTTGATCTTTTACAGTATGTTTTCCCAGCTTAAATGAAGAGTAAAAATCAAAACCCCCCAAAAATAAGGTCTTGTCCCAGTTTTCAAGAATAAGTGATCATGTATCAACACTATCAGTTAGGTTGTCTCACTGGACTTTCCCCTGACCAAAGATATTACAGCATGTGTTTTATCTTTGATGTGATGGTAAAGAAAAAGCAAGCATCTTCTGCTCCTTGTGATTTGACTGTGAATCACACTTTAATGACAAATTAGATTTGTGGAGCAAACTCACCTTCAAAGTGCTGGGAAGGTTTTCTGCAGGGATTTCTGAGATTTTGTTGGCACTCAGCACCAGTTCCTCCAGCTTTGAGAACTTTAACAGGCCGTCGTCAACGACTGAGACCTGAACACAACACAGACAAAACATCAAGTACGATTTCAATAAATAAAAGCATCAATATTGATTGACTTGGTTCTTTGTGTTTTGAACAAGGTCCGTTGCAGAGTTGTAACATGGCATTACAGACTTAAGTGGTTACTCGGAGCCCCTCAGCCAACAGAGTTCCCAGAGACGAATTGACAGCATGCTTTATTTTTGGGATGCTTTGTTTATTTTATGTCCATTATGGGATTTAAGAGGTGCAATGACAAACTTCAAAGGTACACTATGCAGGGACTGTCAGTTACTGTTTGTAAACACAATTGCCAGCGAAAGTGAAAACCAACCCCAAATGTCCCGAACATAGAAAAATAAGAACATAACTAGAATAACCGCCTCACAGATATATGCCGCTACAATTTCTGAAACGTGGATACTTCACACACGTCTTGAACCAGGCTGCACAGAAGATCTATACAATCAGCACAGTTTCAAGGTGGACACCCAAGATTAGTGTCACCAATTCAGTATCTGAACAAATGTCTACTCTTCTGTTTCTGAGATATGATGATGAATAGTGGGCAGAAAAGTGTTTTTGCAGAACATTATGATGTCACAGTGAAGCTGACCTTTGATCTTTTGGATATAAAATGTCATGACATCATCATTTTGTCCTATTAGACATTTCTGTGAAATTCTGTCATAATTGGTGTATGAATTCTTGAGTTATTGCCAAAAACATGTTCCATGAGGTCACAGTGACCTTGACCTTTGACCTGAGGCCACTAAATTCTAATCAATTCATTCTTGAGTCCAAGGAGACGTTTGTGCCAAATTTGAGTAAAAGAAATCCCTCAAGACGTTCTTGAGATATTGCATTCACAAGAATGAGATGTAGATAAGGTCACAGTGACCTTGACTTTTAGACCTTTGACCACTAAATTCTAATCGGTTCATCCTTAAGTCCTGGTGGACGTTTGTGCCAAATTTGAAGATTAGGTGGTCCACTGACCATTTTCTAATTCACAATAAAAATACACTGAGTCACTTTTAGTGTAAACAAGGTGCCACAGTGTCTGAAAGACAACCACTTAAACAGACCTTGTTTATAAAAACCCAAATAGAGGTAGGTGCGGTTGTAGATGAAAGGGTTTATGGACACCACCCTCTCTTTATGCATGATTCTCTAACATTACTAGCATTATGTTGTTTTACATCTTCTCTTTCAATGTTCACACTGTTTCTACAGTTTATCTGTGGTTATTTCAGTCACTGAGAGGAGCAGATATTGTAGGTCTGGTAATGCACCTACAGATAAGAGTGCAAAGGTAGTCTGTTGCTGCACTGATGCCCAGCTCTGGTCTGAGAAGCTAAGAAAGGACCATTATGAACTGGAAACTATTGCTGAGTAAAGAGAAAACTCTTGCATGCCATAATATTTCTGGGGCCATTATATCAAATCAGGGGTGTGGGGATGAGACAGTTCTGAGGAATAACACTGTACAAGAACAGTGAATCAAATTTTAATTACAACATTTGGATGTAGGGCATAAAAAACTCTGTACACTTACACCCTTGTCCAAGATGTGAAGTGTTGTAAAGTAACTGTAAATGAAGTCCGTGTGCAGGCGTTCAGGTGTGAGCACAGCCAGCTGTCTCAGGGCCGCAGTTTGAGGGCTCCATGATCCATCCTGCCGCCAGGGAGAGTGAGGGCAGCTCAGTAGATCCAGGAGGGCGTCTGTCTCTTCTGTCTCTGCTCCCTCTGTGCTGCCTTTGGTCTTTCTCTGAGAACATAATCACTCTGTTAATTAGTATATTATACAAAAAGCTTCTACTGTGTGCAGAGAGTGCTTTACACCACTGAAAAGACACAATGATCCTTTTAAGATAATCTAGAAAACACTGCAACCAATGAAAAAAAAACTCACCCAGGTGCCATATCCACAAGGAAAGTCATTCAGACACAGTCGGTGAATCAGCTTCTCTAGCACGGCAGAAAGTGTGTTTGAGCTCATGTCTGTCAGCAGTTGCTCCTGCATTATGTGTTACATTGATTTGTTTTAAGATAAACACAATAAACTACAGTATGTAGTGAAATATGGTCAGTTTTCTTTGGTTAGCCTCTCATGGAAGAGGCCCCTGGTGTTTATTTACAAATGGCTGTCGGTTGCCTGGCAACACCTGTTGCTCACTTTGGAAAGACGGCATTGAGTCAGGACCTCAGTGTAAGTCTGAGAGCTCTGTGGAGCAGATAAAACAGGTTTCAGCTCAGTGAGTGTATCAGACAAACACAGTGACTCTGAAATCCTCTGTTATCTGCTTACTTAGTAACTATCAAACATTTATACTAAGAAGAAAAATAGGAGATAAAAATGACACTGATGTCAGACTTTAGAGACATAAGAGGCTCCTTTAACTTTCATCCTAATAACATATTTAACATAAAAGGACTACTGACTGAATAAACCACTGTGAGAAACAATCATCATTGCAAAATGGTAAATTGAGCATAGTGTTAGTTCAATCAGGAGAGACGTGTTCTGAGAGAAAAGAATATTTATTTACATGTGCACGTAAATGTGAGAAATGTGAACAAGTGAAAAGTCTTTGGCGATTAGACCCCATCTTGATGTCATCTATTCCAGGAGGGTGGTAAAGACGTAGTAGATTAGGGAATCCCGGGGGGTCTTTGTTGCAGCTCTCCCTGCCTTAGTCTTTCAATGTAGGCGCATGGAAGGGCAGAGAGGTTTGCTCTCTCTGCCATAAGTGGGATTTATACTTGTGCAGCAGACCCTACGCGCGTTGCCTACACAGTTGTGAGCATTTATACTTGTGCGGTGGAGTGTCTGTGTCACTCTACAGTTAACCCTTCAAAACACTAGTCGGCAGCTGGGTTTCTGTGAAGTACTGTAAAGTTTAGTTAATTCAAAACACACATTAAACATGGCTTAATAGAGACAATTTCAAACACAAGTACACAAATCAGCTTCACTATGACTCGCAGCATTCACAGACAAACTTGTCTTTATCTGGACACATTTTCCCCACAAATACAACATGCTAATGTCTGTGGATATTCTCATTTATCCAGGTCAATTCCATTCTGGCAACAATTAAATCGTAGGCAACTGGACTTTGATTTTGTCTAGAAGACGTTTCGCCTCTTATCCAAGCGGCTTCATCAGTTCTCAACGCATCAGTCTGACTAGTCCTCACTAGTCTGACAAACAGTGGAGTAAGACTCAGGTTTTTAACCTCTGTGGAGGTGTACACCCACCACCCTCATAAGACAATACTTCGTTAGTGGAGTTTCACTGGACCATTGTTTGGGTCAGGTGAGTCACACTAGTGAACGACGGTCATTAGGAGTGGGTGGGGCCACTGGTGAGCAACAGTCGTTAGGCATGATGTGTGGTTACCAGTGAACGACTGTCGTTGTGTTTCTTTGAGCCACTTGAGGTTAGTTTCGGGCAGTCTTTGTTGTTCAATCTCTTAGGTACAGCAGCAAGGGTCGCATTGTAAATGGGGGATAGGTGGTGTCTCAGGCCACCTCCCCTGTTAAGAGACGGTTTCTCTATTTTAACGTAGATGGATTCTTTCACCCCTCTTTCGAACCATCTGTCCTCTCTGTCCAAGATTTTCACATTGCTGTCCTCAAAGGAGTGAGCCTTCTCCTTTAGATGTAAATAAACAGCAGAAACTGGACCTGAGGAGTTTGCCCTTCTGTGTTGAGCCATGCGTTTGTTTAATGGTTGTTTGGTTTCACCAATGTATGAGTCCTTGCATTCTTCACTGCATTGGACAGCATATACCAAGTTGCTTTTTTGAGTGTGTGGTACCCTGTCTTTGGGGTGTACCAGTTTTTGCCTGAGTGTGTTACTTGGTTTGAAACACACAGAAATTTGGTGTTGGTTGAAAATTCTCCTGAGTTTCTCAGACACCCCGGACATGTAGGGTATGACAATGTTCCTGCGCTTGTTTCCTTCCTCAGCCCTCTCTGAGTTATTGTTCTTGTTGGATCGTTTTGTTCTGTTAAACGTCCAACTAGGATAGCCACAAGTTTTCAATGCTCTCCTCAAATGTTTGTTCTCCTGTACCTTTGCCTGAGTGGTTGTTGGTACATTATCATCCCTGTGCTGTAAGGTTCTGATAACTCCCAGTTTGTGCTCCAGAGGGTGGTGTGAGTCGAAAAGAAGATATTGGTCTGTGTGTGTGGGTTTCCTATATACCCCAATGTGGAGGCTCCTGTTCTCATCCAAGTGTGCATCACAGTCTAAGAAAGGTAGGTGGTTATCATTAACATCTTCTCTAGTGAAGTTGATGTTCTTGTCCACTGAGTTGATGTGCTCAGTAAAAGCCTCCAGTTCTTGGGATTTGATCTTCACCCATGTGTCATCCACATATCTGAACCAGTGGCTTGGTGATGTACCCTTGTAAGAGTTCAGTGCCTTTTGCTCTACCCTTTCCATATACAGGTTTGCCACAATGGGGGATACTGGTGACCCCATAGCACAGCCATGCTTCTGTCTGTAAAAAGTACCGTTAAACTGGAAGTATGTGGTGTTAAGGCACAATTCCAGTAACTGGCAAATTTGTTCTGTATTGAGATTTGTTCTGTCCGGTAACGTTCTGTCCTGTGTAAGATGATGCCTCACCGTTTCCACTGCTTCCCCGGTTGGGATGCAAGTGAATAGGGATGTTACATCATATGATACCATGGTTTCATCCGGTTCTAGCCTTAGACCCTGGATTTTGCCTGCAAATTCGTATAATGTTATTAGCACAAGCCTATGGTATTTTACATTGTATAAATTAGCCTAGCAGCTAGCAATCTTCTCCTCATATAAGCCAGGGACAACAGCGACATTTAACAAAGGTAATGGTACATAATTTGGCTCCATTACAGCTCACAAGGTTCACCGACAAAACAACTGTCTTATACTAAACTCGTTTTCCAAACAAATTTAACATGCTAACGTTATTAGCACAAGCCTATGGCATTTTACATTGTATAAGTTAGCCCTGCTCATATGAAGCCAGGTATAAATCCCTGAAAGATAAATTACACACAAGACTAAAAATGCTATTTTTGTGAAGGTTTTATTGTCTTCACAATTTATGGTTTCTTATCTGTGAAATTAAAGTAAATAAAAGCTTTGTTTCCACTGAGGGAAATGGTTTCAGCTTACAAAAATAAACAGGAGGTCTGCGTCGCAATGGCGTGTAGTTACATTTCTGGGGAGGTGCACGTCAGGCTACGGCACTGGTTACGGCCTAGGCTCCATGTCGATGCAGAGCCTACGCTGTAGCTACAGCATCGATTCAATGCAGAAGTGTAAATTCTGCCTTGGCTTTCCACAAAGGCGCATGGAAGAGGCTTTCTGCATAGGCATAGGAAAGGCAGGGAGGCCCCAGAACAAACAGACAGACAGACAGACAGACACACACACACACACACACACACACCAGTCTTTAATAGGTGATTATGGCCCTGCTTAAAACAAGTCGTAAGGAAATGTAACAAGCCTCCTTGTTCAAGGATTTTAGATTCAGATAAAAAGGCTCAGAATAGCATTTTCACTCCATGAACAGTTGGTTTCTTTTTCTTGTGAAATTATCAGGGCTGAGTGATGACTAAGACAGGTTGATTTATTTTAACCACAGAAAGAATATTTCGACTGTGGGATCAATAGATGCTGCTCTTGAATATGATAATGTGATCCACTGTTATCTTGGTTTGCCGTTAATAATGGCACTTCCAGGTGAACTGAAACCTCCTACACAGCGTGAGGTGTAGCATCCTGTGGTGTGTAAGGTATCTATTTCAGAGATATGCTACTAGGAAATCCATTATCAAACAGTATTTAAAATTCTCACGTCATGGTAAACGCATCTAAACAGCTCAGATATGGATATTGGTTTTGTCACAGGTCCATGGAAACAGGAATCACTGGAGATGAAAAACAGGAAAAGGGCAAGCCTGGTGTTTTAATCCAAAAACAACAGTGCTGGATTAGACCAGGCCGCAGCCATAACTCTCTCCAGAACCACTTAATGACTACATGAAATGCAGTCTAAGTTTGTCTACCTCACACTTTTAAAAGTGAAACAGCACCTTTGTGTGTTAAGGGATTCTTTGAAAGTATTTAAAAGGAAAATGGAGAGCAATCAAACAATCTGTCAGGTCATGTGGGTATAGAAATATGTTGCAAATCATGTTTCCAAACAGTGAAGTTTAGTGTCTTTTTTCATTCAACTGATCAAAAGTCTAGATACCTCTGTGGCAGTTTGCATTGTCTCCCCACATCAAACACTGTGGTGAACACTGCCCCACAATTGCAAAATAGAAACATTTACAACAAGATTTCTGTGGACGATAGCATCACAAAGGCGTCATCCACAGAATGTTGGCATGCAACAAAAAAATCCCATGTTCCGATATATAAGCAGAGCGTGTGCCAGTTTAAGAGCATTAACTCAACAGCGTAAAGACAAAAACACCACCATGTTCATTGGCAAAGGTAAGCTGTTTCTGAATGAACGTTGAGTAAATTAGGGTTTATATTTTCCTGCAAGGACTCACTCTCAGCATCTCTGTGTAACAATGCTTTAGAATTACTGTTATAATTATGTTGTGATCTCAGGAGCAAGTCTGACAGCAAGCTGCCTAAAATCTGAAATGAGCTTTAGGGCAGCATTTTCTCACAGCATGTTATTCTCTCTCATAATCAGTTATGACTCTAGGATATTTATGATTCTAGTTACACTCCAGCGCACTTCCGTTTGTCTTGCTATGCAGATGACAGCATTGTGCTTGTTTATGTATAACCTCCTGCAGGGCTCCTGCTTTCCTGCATTGTGATGATGCACATCTCCTTCACGGCCTCCCAACCGTTTAAAAGAGCGACGTTTCAGGAGCATATGAAGGATTCACTTATGATGTTAGCTCGGTGTAATCTGAAGACAGCAGAAAAAGATTATGTGAGTAAACATGTCATACTTTAAATTTGTAAACTTTCTAACGTATACAGTGCATTGAAAGTGATACAACCTTTTGAGTTTATGTGTTATGTACATGTATATTCACTCTGCACTGTACTTAAGTACACATTCAAGATACTTGTACTTAATTGATCATTTCCATTTTATACAACTTTATGCTTTCTACTCCTCTACACTCGAATATTGTATTTTTTTTTTTACTCCACTATAGTTGCCTAACAGCTTTTAAGTTTCTTCCATTCTCCTTCCTGTAGAATCAAAACCATGTTTCTCTAAATTTGGTGATTTTAAATTTGAATCTTCTCAATAAACCGAAGGATGAAGTGTTATTTAATGAGTTAAGAAAATTATTCTACTTCTTGAAATAAGCTATTTCAAAATCCTCATGGATTAGCTGGAAAATGCATCACCAGACTGTTTTTCTAAACTCATGAAAAACAGACTTTTCAGAGATTTGTTCTCATGCCAAGAGTGTAGGTTGGGTTTCAGTATTGGCGGGGGGACACATATGAAACAGGAGGCTTAGGAGTCCTTCGCAAGTAATTTGTGACATCAAACACTTAATTTCCAGCATTCTGGTGAATTTTCATGCACCAGTTTGTGGCTTTTCTGCATCAGTTTATGGTGGAAATGTCTTAAATTTTGTCAAAATAAAAGTCCTCTGCTGCATTCACGTTTTTATCGGGGTGGAGGACATGTTCTTAATATTGAGGGTGATGAGTCCCTTGTGTCCCTCCTGAATCTACATCTATGGGCAATGCTACAAATGATACAATATGATGCACTGCTGTAGATTAAAATTCTCAACAAAGGAGTTAAAATGAGCACAACTTTAAACATCTCTAACATCTACATGAATGCGGCAGTAAGATTAATCCAAAAACATCAAATATAACATCAAAACACTGACAGGGAACATTTTTCTGTCGTGTTAGTACTTTGTCATTTTAAGTACATTTTGCTGATAATACTTCAACATGCATAGATAGGCCCTGTGTAATTGGTTTTGATGCAGGAGTAGAGTATTTTCAGTGTGGTATTGTAACAGAGTACTACTTCCTCCACCACCGAGGGACCTTTTGAAGTCATTTTCAGAAGTTATGATAGCTGATAGCTTCTGAGCTCTTTGTCATAATGTCTCTCACTTCCTGTCTAGGTCAAGGTCATGTTTCCCTCCAATTCAACGAGTGTACAGCTCCCCCCTGGGGCCCTTGAGGGAATAACTTTTGGAAACAGCACAGAAGAAGTCCAGACCTCCGCCTGTGCCATCTCTGACTACCTCAACAAGCACCTTCCTGCAATCATCAAGTCCCTCACTGAGAATTACGAGGACATACTGAAAAACACCACAACGTTTCTTAATGGGTTCAACACAGTTGTTAAACAGTCAAGTGATCAAAATGAACCAAAGCAATGCCACAGAAATGTCACAGCTGCAGACGATTACAATAAAAAACGAATTGGCTTCCAGATCATTCACTTAACCAGGAGATGGGTGGAGATTTTCACAGGCACAAACACCACCTGTCAACATGATGAGAACAATGCTTGACAGCACTTTTTATTTATTCATTAACTTATTTTATTTATTAATTTTTGTTGGTGTTTTATTTTCGGTATTCTATATTTATTTATTCTATTTATATTGAATGATGTCCTCCACATTGTATGTCAGTCTCGTGCTGCTCCATTCTGAGTGGATACTGTTCTAGAGGATTTATTTATTTAAATTATTTGTCAATAATAAAATATTTAACTCAAACCACTTTTTAATTTTCTTTTTTGTGGTAGCAAAGATTTCAACACACTTACATTTATGCAGTGTTTCACTTTATTCTGAGCTTTGGTTTTATCAGGCCTTCGTTAGCTATGATCTGATAGGCTCGACCAGGCGCGGGCTGAGAGTGTCAGGCCTTCACTACAAAATGTCACTCAAAATACTGTAACATGAAGTGGCCAGGAAAAGACTCAAAATAACCACAAAGAGACACAAACCAACCAAAGACAGACACAAAATGACCACAAAGAGACGTAAAAACAAAAAGATGCATAATGAGTGCAGGGCTGGCCCAATACTTCATATATTCATTCAACATCTAGTTCATATGCTCCAAAGATCCGAAATAAAGACCGTGTTAATGTTTTGGCTGATCAGTATATATATATATGTATAATCACTTGCAGTGTTCCTCAGGGATTAATCCTGGGACCCTTTCTCTTCTTGATATAAGCCCGGTTCCCACCAAACACTTTCAGTATGGTACGTACCTTTGAAACCAAAAGTAACCCCTCAGACATGGTACCTAGACCCTAGCGTTTCCACTGCAAACAGTACTCTCAAATGTGGGCAGGGTTGTTGCCACTCACTGCTCCGTCCAGCACTCACTGTATTTCCTCATTATCGGCAACACAGAGGGAAGTCTGCACCTTGTTTATCATCCACAGAACAGGGGTGCAAATTTTCAGAACAAAATAAAACAAGATTTACACATAATTTTAAACACCTTTACAAAGCTAATTTCCCCCACTCATAGAAACCCTGAAAAATTATTTTGAGCGCTGAAACTTATTATCATTATCATTAGGAGGTAAAATTAACACCATTAAAATGAATGTGCTACCTAGATTTTTGTATCTGTTCCAATGTATTTCTGACAAAATCCTTCTTTCTGCTCATAGATAAACTGATATCCTCATTCATCTGGAATAAAAATACTCCACAAATACGTAAGAGTATCTTATAGCGTCACTGTGAACATGGAGGGCTATCCTTATCTAACTTTCAATATAATAACTGGTTGGCTAACATATGCTCTATGCTATATTGGTCTAACCCATCACAAGATAGAGGCCCAAAATGGTTACAGTTAGAAACTTGTCATGTGGACCTGCCTCTTTACATGCTTTACTTTGCTCCAAGCTTCCACTACCTGAACCTATATCCAGATATTTTATGAACCCAGTGGTTAAGCACTCCTTGAAGGTCTGGGCACAGTTCAGACGAGCATTCTCGCTTAATAACATATCAATCAATGCCCCTATATCAAGAAACAATATGTTTAAACCCTGTTGTACAGATAGTTTCTTCCATACTTGGACCAAGAATGGATTAGTTAGATTAATCAAAAGATTTATATATCAATGATAATTTTGCATCATTTGAGCAGTTGAGATTGAAATTCTAAATTCCTAACTCGCATCTCTTTAAATATCTGCAACTTCGCAGCTTTGGATACTCAAACTCAGCTCTCTCCTTGACTCCGTTTTGGAGTTCATTTCCTACCATCAAGGGTTTATCAGCAAAATTTACACGCCACTCAACTCTCACAATTTAGAACCTCTGACACATCTAAAAAGACAATAGGAGGAAGAACTGGGCACAGAACTTTGTGAGGATACATGGCACTCTGCACTACATAAGATACACTCATCCTCAATTTGTTTAAGACATGAGGTAATACACTTCAAGATTGCACATAGACTGCGTTGGTCTAAAGCGAGATTGGCAAAAATTACACCAAATGTGGATCCTAACTGTGGAACAACAAAATGTACTTTATCACATATGTTCTGGCTCTGTCCAGAATTAATGGATTTCTGGCAATCAATATTCATTTTTTTCTGACTTGCTAGAAAGACCCATAGAACCTCTTGCCATAATTGCAATATTTGGTACAGTACTGCAAGATCTCTGTCTCAACCGACACAGCAAAAACATGATAGCCTATGCTACGCTCCTGGCTAGGAGACTTATATTGCTTTAATGGAAAGACAGATGTCCTCCAACTTTCAATCAATGGGTCAGAGATCTTCTGCACCATCTGACTTTAGAAAAAATCAATTATGCCACAAGAGGCTGCACCCTCAAGTTTTACACTATGTGGCAACCAGTTCTAGATCAGGTAGAAAAGATAGATGCCTCGGATATTAGATGTATAGATATAACCCCTCCTTTTTTTTCTTTCTTCCTTTTTTTCCCCCCATACTTTTACCTAATTTGTGTTTTCTGTGTATTTATAAATTGTATATTGAACCACTGAACTTGTGATGTGGATGTGTGGCGGTGCAGTGGGGTGGGATTGTGTTGAACTTTATTGAACTGCATCTCAAACTGTTTTTTGTATAACTTAAAAAACTAATAAAAACACTGAACAAAAAAATTAAAAATAAAACAGGCTGCAGTGGGAGTCTCTCTCCATGGGATATTTTAAAAATAGCAGGTTTGTGCATTTGGTCCTTCTCAGGCAAGCTCAGGGGTTTGGTGTTCGCTCCTTGACGCTGTTTTTTTTCTCTGAGTGAGGATTGGAATATATGCAATTCACATAACCTGGTCAAAAATTAATATATAGTTTATATTGTACTTCTAATGTGACTGAATGCATTAAGTGACGAATCCATCAGCACACCTTAAATGTCACTGTGACAACTTTGACCATCAGTTTAGTTTTTATATGACATACACTTTTAGTAATTAGTGGATCTTCAGCTGTTTATATAAACAGTATCTGTAAGAATGGTCCTCCTTAGGGTAGTTTGTCTGATCTGGCTGAAGTCTGATGCATATTTTAGATGGTCCTACTAGGTTTGTGTTAGTACTGTCTAAGCCTGGATGTGGATCAACTCACTCTGTGTTTGTACTGGCTGATGATCCAGGTTCTCCTGCACTGAGACTGAAGCAGAGCACCTGTAAGTTCTAGCTAAAAATACTATTCCCCCAGATTGTCCTCTGTACATTCTCAAATACAAAATACTATTTATTTTACGGCATGGATTAATAGTTGATGGTTATTACAGTTTTCTGTAATACCCCATCACATATCGACATTTGATCATAAACCTTCCAAGTCCACATATGACATACATGATACCCTGGGTGCGCTGGTTGTTGACGTTCTGGGACATCGTGTCAAGTTCTGCCTGTTACATGCATTGTCTTCTTTCAAAATACACTTCTGCTTTCACAAGAAATTTAACGTTTACATACAGTCTCTTTCTAAATAAACGCACTATGTCAGTACAACAACACAAATGGACGTTTGTTTTCCTCCAACAACTAACACACGTGGTTGGGTTCAGGAAAAAAAGGAACAGGGTTTCACTTTAGAATCTTACTGGACACGAACACCGCTCTCCCAGGTCAAAGTCTGTGTTTGTTTCACTTTCATTCTTGTCCCACCGCATTTTCCCCTAACACCATTGAACACTGGGGCGTCGGTGGCTTAGTGGTAGAGCAGGCGCCCCATGTACAAGGCTGTTGCCACAGCGGCCCAGGTTTGAATCCAGCCTATGGCTCTTTGCTGCATGTCATCCCCCCTCTCTCCCCCTTTCACGCTTACCTGTCCTGTCCATTAAAGGCAAAATGGCCAAAAAAATATCTTAAAAAAAAAAAACACCACTGAACACTTAAACTAAACCTAAACTATAACGGCAACTGGCCACGTATCATGCCAACGTTAAAGGATGGCTTTTTTCGTCAGTGCCTGACGCCACAAGTCACAGCCCAAGCACCAGATTTTGACGACTTCGGAGTGAGACTGGATTGTTTGTATAGATAAAGTCATCACTTCATCATTTTATCCTATCAGACATTTCTGTGCCATTTTGTTTTAATTAGTGTATAAATTCTTGCGGTTTGGCCTAAAACATGTTTTGTGAGGTCATAGTGACCTTGACCTTTGGCCACCAAATTCTATGCAGTTCTTCCTTGAGTCCAGGTTTTAAGTTGTGCCAAATTTGAAAAAAAAAATCTCTCAAAGCATTCTTGAGCTATCGTGTTTGCAAGAATGAGACGGATGGACAGACAGCCTGAATACATAATGCCTCTGGCTTCGGCTATCACTGGTGCAGAGGCACAAACCACAAAGCCTGCGTGTCTTGCTCCTCTGTTGGAGAGATGGTGGAGCCTTTTGGATGTCTGTGCCCAGAGTCATGTTGTCTCATGATCCTGTCATAGCTCTGATGAAGGTCTGATAGGCCATAAGCTCAGAATAAAGTGAAACATGGCACACATGTACGGTGGCATGGTGGTGCTGTGGTTAGCATTGTTGCCTCACAGCAAGAGGGTTCCTGGTTCAAACTCAGGGTGGGGGTCTGTGTGGAGTCGCATGCTCTCCTCCTCTGACATGCAGGCTAGGTTAACTGGTGGCTCTAAAGTAGCTGAGCATAAATCTTTTCTACTGGTTTGGACTCACTGGTGTTTACAACACCTTACTGGGATTTGAATAATGTGATGCATCCACATGAAGTGTAGCCTCAAAGACAGTGGAGGCACCTGTACAAATATTCATATTTAATTTTTTTTGGCTAATTCCTCATGGTTTATTATCTTATAGGTGCACGTGTTCATCTTGCTGCCTTTATAAAGCTTATTTAGACACTATAAGTTCCCGGTGGATCCAGAAATATGCCTCTTGGGCAACCTCTCAAATTATAACCTCACATAATCATTCCATCAAACTTACAGACAGAATTAAGATTTGTGGCTCTCAGTGGTGAAAAGGTGTATAGTTCAGGAAAAGACAACTTAATCACTGAGGGATTATATAAATGTTTTCTAATAAAATATGGCAACCTTTAATCAGCTGTGGAGAATCTCACATCTCACATGGGTGAATAATTGTCTGCAAAGTCTCTGCTTTCACCACACTAGTGTTGTGAAAGACCAATTTATTATGAAGCTTAATTTAGGCATTTTGTTATTTGTTAATTCATATTTGTGACGGCTGAATTGCATAGTGAGAGTGTCTGTATTGTCAGTGTGTGGCTGTGTGGGTAGCATACTATTAGAAAACCCCAAATAAAAAAGCTTACTCCACAGCTTACACCACAAAAACTACACACTAGGTGACATGAAAGACATTTATTTTTCTTATTTACGAGCTTATTTATGAGTAATCACAAAAGATAAAATCATCAAACATCATAAACAGAGTTGTGAATTTTCACACCTTATAGTTTACTAGAGATCTAATCGTGCTTTTGGTTGCACCTTATGGGAAGTGTAGGTTTTTCTTCGAGAGAGATCCCATGGAGGGAACCCCCAGTAAGTAAAACTGAATGCTGAGCTTGTATGAGTATTTTCTGTGACAGCCGTGTAGAAACACGCAGGGGAAAATGTTAACATGTTGATCCTTATCTAAGGAGTCCCAATAAAAGTGACCATGCTTGGAAAGATGGATCAGAGAAAGTATCACATCAGAGAGCCTGCTGCCTACTAAAGCCTCCTCCTGCTGTCATGGATTGTCGTGCAGGTAAGCATCTTGAGGTGCGGGGCTCACAGTCCCGCAGTGTCTATCTTTAAACCAGGCAGGGCTACAAGTTCAACTTCTGCGGACAAAGTTATGCAACACTGAAACTCTGTAGTGACTGCAGATCAGATCAGCCCCCTCCTCCTCTCTGTCTCTCTCTCTCTCTGTGTGCATTCAAATCTAATCCATGTCCACTGTGTGCGCTTTCATGTGACAGTCATCATCTTGCTGCTCATTGCACAAGCAGCCTGTGGACCTGTTAAAACAACAGCCCAGGCCCTGAACAACACTATCGAGCTGATGCAGAAGGAGATACGGACCGCTCTGGGAGCCCTAGTAAGTTTTTTACTCCTCAATTGATTTTTTTTACTCGTCAAAACATTGTATCTTGTTTTTGCCATTTTGTGTCTCTGTCATTTGGTCTCTTCGTAGTGTTTTTGTATCTTTTTAAGGTCATTTTGTCTTCTTGTTGTCTTTTTGTGTCTTTTTTGTCATTTGTGTCTCTCCATAGTCATTCTGTGTCTTGTGGTTTTTCTTATGTCTTTTGTCATTTTGTGCCTCTGAGGTCATTTATCTATTTTTTTTGTCATTTATGTCTCCGTAGTAATTTTGTGTCTTCTTGTGATAGTTTTGTCTCTCTTTGAGGTAATTTTGTGTCTTTTTGGGTCATTTTGTGTCTCTTTTGTAATATCCATCTCTCCCTAGTTATTTTGTGTCGTCTTGTGGTTTTTATGTCTCTTTGAGGTCATTTTGTTTCTGGTCATTTTGTGTCTTTCTGTGGTATTTCTGTCCATTTTTGTAGTAAATTTGTGTCTCTTGGCAGTTCCCTTTCATCTCTTTGTTGTCTTTTTGAGTCTCTTCCTGGTCAGTACGTTTATTTCAGTGACATTTTGCAGGACAGGGGGGCACTGACACTTTGGGTCCCTGGGCCTGTGCCCAGTAGACCCCTATAGTAATCCATCCATGGTTTAATTCTGTTTTAATCACACTAAGAGCATCACTTTAGTAAATTTATTTACTTACCTCTACATCCCTGAGTATTGGTCCTACTCACTGATAGACATCTACTAACCAAGCCCATCTCCTGCAGGCTGAACCTGGAGTGCTTCCCTTGAGCACTTCCTGCCACTCCCTAAACACCTTGGAGCTGGGTGGGTCTGAGCCCCTCACTGCTAAACACCTCTCCCTCTTCCGCTGCTACATGATGAAGATGTCTAACCTGACCACGGACGTGTCACATGAGCTGGTGACAGCCAGCCAGTACAGTCAGGATGTGGAGCGGCTGACGAGCAACAGCACAGACAATCGGGACTGCAAGCTGCCTGCCTTTGAGCAGGAAATGGATAGTTTTGTGTATGTTAAATGTCTGCTGGAGCATTTGCAGCAGCGGCTCAGCAGCACAACTTTGGGATTTTGACTGCGTAGCTTAAATATTGTATTTATTTATTTTACACATTATTGAAAGTAATTTTTGTAATCCAGTTTTCTATGTATGAGAAAGTTCTATCTTCTTATTAGGCTATTAGTATCTGATGACCAAGTAATATTTATTCTAGACAAAGTGACCTTTATTGACAATAAAGCAAGTCAAGATTTTTATTTTTGTTGCTTTTATTGTGATTCAGAATTGTTTAAGGCATCTTAAAAATATGTTGCATGAAGACATTTGGAAAAGAACAACAAACAAACAAAACAGACACTCAGATGCAGCACATAGAAAATATCTTAACTTCTTAAATCAAATGAAATACAACACCAAATTTGGGGAGAACCAACGTGGGCAGATCCAATCTGCAATGATATACTGTACATCATCAGGTACAAAACCCCCTCACAAAAACAGCAAGCAGAAGTTGGAAACCCAACCTGGTATGACAAACATTTTAAAATGAGAGGATGATTGAAAAAACAAAACAACCCAAAAAAAAATCCACAAAAATGTCAAGCTGTGGTGGAACATTGGGTCTTTACTGTCAAAAGTAAATGGGCCTGTGTTGAATCTTAATGACTGCTTTTCTCGTCTTACTGTAAATTGAGCAGCCTCTACATCAACAGCTATTTTTTTTTTTTATGATGTAAAAAAACAAAGTAAAACCAGCCATTTAAAGACATCTGCAATCCACAATAAAACACACAAAAAGCTGCACATTCATCAGATAAGAACGATCAGTGGCATCATTCGCTACCATAAAACTCAGCGTAAACACAGTTGTTCTGCAGGAAATAAAGACATAATCACAAAATCAATGTCTGCCTGAGGAGTGCTGAACCACAAAATTTAAAAAAAGACTAATCAGCCTGCAAAGATCACAATTAAGGGCACTTAATTTGACCTTCAGGCTGAAGTACGTCAGGCATGCCGATCAAATCTGCACAGTGTCTAATTCTCAAGCAGTCGACAGAGCGCTCTGTCAAATATGATGTCAGTTACACAAAAAAACATTTACTGAATGGATGGGTAAATGAATCGTTCATATGGCTTTTGGACTGTTTGAATGTGCTGCGTCATTTCACAGGACAGACTGTTTCCTCCTGCGTCTGTCATTAACACACCTTATANATATTAGCACCAGATAATCCAAACTGGTTCTGTGAGATATAGTTCTGGCTCAATATAGATCAAAAAAGGGCCCAACATAAAAGTCATTGCAACAGTAATGTTTCATAGTATTTCTTGGTCCTAATAGTCTTCTGGAGTTTAGTGTGTTTTTCCACCCAAGAGAGCAGTTGTGTTTTGGCAACCAGAGGGGCACTTAAGCATGCGTTTTTACCACCCAAGAGGGCAGTTTATCATGTTTTAACCAGCCAAGAGGGCACTTTAGCGTGTTTTGCCAACCAGGAGGGCACTTTAGCGTGCGTTTTGGCTCCCAAGAAGACACTTTAGCTTGTGTTTTGGCTCCCAGGAGGGCACTTTAGTGTGCGTTTTGGCTCCCAGGAGTACAATTTAGTCCGCATTTTGGCTCCCAGGAGTGCACTTTAGCCCGCATTTTGGCTCCCAGGAGGGCACTTTAGCGTGCGTTTTGGCTCCCAGGAGTGCACTTTAGCCCGCATTTTGGCTCCCAGGAGGACACTTTAGCCCGCATTTTGGCTCCCAGGAGGGCACTTTAGCCCGCATTTTGGCTCCCAAGAGGACACTTTAGCGAGCATTTTTCAAGAATTGGGCCACGAGGGGGGGCGTCTGCCCCTGCCCCCCACTGTCTGTGTTGGTGTAGTAGAGGTCAAAGTGTGTGTTATTTATAGCAGACAAATATGGGTACCACTAGGGCTGGGCGGTATACCGGTTTGTACCGAAAACCGGTATTTATTTTCGTTATGATTTGAATTTTTCATATACCGCAATACCGGTAAATAGCCCAAACAATGTCCGGAACGTGCGCGGCGGGAAAGTGTTTCAGCGGGGACCCATTTCACCGCTGCACACCACAGGCACGCTTGAGCGGGTGAGAGTGAGAGCATAGAAAAGTTTAGAGGCGTGAATGGCTGCCGGAGAGAGTCCTGAAAGCAAAGCAACTGTACACGATGACCCAGAAGAACTCATACTAAAAAGAGCAGTGTTTCCCCTATATGCAACTAGCAGCGGCGCACCGCCGTTTACAATTCTCCTCTGCCCTCTGTATCGCGCACGGCAGAGTTTCGCCCCGATGCGCGCACACACGCACACACAAAGTGCACACACACAGACAAAAGACACACACACACACACACACACACACACACACACACAGGTAAGCACACTGGAGCACGGCTCGGACTGCATTTTCCTGACCGAAGACGACCCGTCCCGAGTCCGAGACAGTTACGGCCGGGCTCCACCGGGCACGTCAGCGGTGCGACGCGTCTGCAGCGCGAGTCCCGTAGCAGCTCGCCCCCCCTGTTAATCAATTACAGCGGCTCCAACAGCAACGGGAGCGGCGCGACAACCCCCATCTGTCACGCGACAACTCTCTATTTTACGGGGCTCTTCTATTTTTGTCGCGCTACGCTCCCCTACGCGACCCTCCAGCAGATAAACTACATGAAATAGTGTGCTAAACGAGCACAATGTGTTTTTAAATGAATAAACCATTATCAGAGGTGATATGTGATTTTTTTTCATGCATTTACCCATGTTTATCTGTGACATTGTGTAAATGTCCGTGGCAGACATTTGAAAGCGAGTAGATGACAAACAGTACAGTAAACTTGTAGATAACTCAAATATATGTAATAACTTAGGTGGGAAATGCTTTAACATTTCATGGCTCAGCAAACGGTAAACAACCCCGCTGGCTTCTCTACGTGTCGCTTCAGTACACAGTCAGTGGAGCCCAAATGAATGGAGCGGAGCGTGTGTTATGTTCAGGCATTGTCAGGTAAATAACAAATTCCGGCACTTGAATAGGCCATAGCACAACACAGCAGCATGTCAAGTTGGCCGAACCTGAGCAAAATACTGTGAAATACCGTGAAACTGATATGATTTTTTCTTAAAACCGTGATATGAAAATTTTGTCATACCACCCAGCCCTAGGTACCACATATCAAAATTTAAGAGCTCTAACAAAAAAAAAAAAACTGAGTTACACTTGCTCAAAAGAAAAGTGTTACAATCATCCCCAGTCTCCCCTACGTCAGGCATGCCGATCAAATCTGCACAGTGTCTAATTCTCAAGCAGTCGTCAGAGCGCTCTGTCAAATATGACGTTAGTTACACAAAAAAACATTTACTGAATGGATGGGTAAACGAATCGTTCATATGGCTTTTGGACTGTTTGAATGTGCTGCGTCATTTCACAGGACAGACTGTTTCCTCCTGCGTCTGTCATTAACACACCTTATAAATGAGTGTAACTATGAGCAGGACAAAATCAAACCATGTGATGTAACCTTTACCCTTGTGCAGACATGTTTCCTGCTGAGAAAGACCCTGAATCAATTTGTTCATAGCAAAATGGAAAATAATTTCACTGACCAGCCCAGCCCTGAGTGACAAAGAACAGAAAAGACCCCTACAACTAAGCTTTGCTCTTGTAACACTGTACATGTGAATATAATGTGTACTGCTATTTTAGTTATGCTCCCTATGAGGGCTGTAAGTAATATTGCTCCATTATGCTGTGACCTGCCCAGTAGAAACCCATGTGTTTAACATATAAAATGATGGGATTTCTTGTACAACTTGCAGATGAACTCACTGGAAATGGGCAGAGCAAGCAAAATATGAAGGTTCAGCATGGATGAAAAAACCCCACCAAGACACTACTATGGTCAACTGGCAAGATAACATTCACCTGAGTAAATGAGGGATGGAAAAGACGATAAAGCTCTCAGTTGCCTTTTACTAATTAAAGAAGCAGTGTGTAGGATTTAGTGGCATCTAGCTGTGAGGACAGCAGATTGAAACCACTTGAAACTTTCTGCAGTGTCAAACGTGACATTATGGTTTGAACTCCTACAGTTATCATTGTTCAGGAGGTTTTTACTGGGAACCGAATTATACGCAGAGGTCTCCTCTCCAAAACAAGTGGACCTTGTGATTTAAACCGGTTAAAACACTGAATAAAGCATGCTTACATGAAAAACTTCAATGTTTAGTTTGTCAATTTTGGGCTACAGTAGAAACATGGCGGTGCAACACAGCAGACTCTGTAGAAGAGGACCTGCTCCATGTGTAGATATAAACGGCTCATTCTAAGGTAAAAGAAACACAGCGATTCTTATTTTCAGTAAAGACAACATATTTATTTATTATATTTTGTTGCATATCCGCCAATATATGCCCCTAAATCCTACAACCTGGACCTTTAAAGGAATACTTCACTCACAAAATGACCATTTGGATATGAATCAGTTTTGCTGTGTTATCTTGAATTTGTTAAGAGCCTCCTCAGAAAACAGAGAACATGTTGACAGGGGAGCACATTTAACGACAGCACATCTGTTCACAAACTCTCACACAACTCCTGCAGTATAATCCAAGTCTCATTTGTCCAGTTGTATGGTCATTCCTTCCAAAACACATGAATTTTTACTAAAAAATAAAAACATTCATTCTTCATATTGGAGTCTGGTTTTGTCAGGAGAATAGATACGTTTCACTATTAGTTAAATTTTAAATAGTAAGGGTTTCGTCAAAATGCGTGTTTAGAAGGTGCTGAGCATTTTACTGAACAAATGAGATACTGCACGAGTTATGTGAGAGTTTGTGAACAGATGTTTTGATATTGTTTTGCAGGTGTTCGACGTGGTCCCCATTAATCGACAAATCAATATTGTTACGCCCCACCCTTAGGCGGCCCTATGGGGCTAACAAAACTCCAAAAACTGACCCAGCAATAACCACATAAACACCTTTAAAACATTCAAATCCATGGGATTTATTAGAATTGAAACAGGCAAACAAGACAACAAAAACCCCATGGTGAGAGGCAGCAGGACCAGCAGTCCCCACACCACAGCCTCTCTCCTCTGCTGCTGGTGCAGGAGCTCTTAAGCACCTCCTCCATGCCAGGTGTGCTGCACCTCGTTAACTAATGCAGCACACCTGGGCAGATCTACAAAGGAGGGAGAAGAGACAGCAGCACAGAACACATACAGCCGTAACAATATGTTCACTGTTT